GCAAATATCGTGAAAAAAAAAACGCTATCCTACAAAACCACCGCCTGCAACACCATCGTAAACGCCACTGAAAATTAAGGCAGAAATCTCCCGCCCTCGCAATGGACCGCCAAAACTCCAATATTGCTTCATTACCTTCATTAGCTTCATTAGAAGTCATTCGAATCATTACTTCTCGAGGTATTTCAATTTTAAATAATAAAGCTCCTTTTGGGACACCCTGTATATCTAGCATTGGCCTTAGCTCCGCTTACGAGAGCCCGGGTTTTATTGTTCCGGCGTTTGACGTCTGGGAGTTGTGATCCATTCCCTTTCAACATGGTTCGGCACCAGGCACCCCTCTCCAACGGCGCGACCTTGCTGACATCCCAATTCACTCAGAGTCAGGGGCCTCGTAATTCCATTAGCATCTAGCTGCCCCTACCGTGGCGGCAGACAGAGAAGACCTGCAGGCGTCTCTAACCAGATCGGCTCTGTCACCATGCGGCTTCCGCCGGGCGCCGCCACCGCTGCCGACTCAGCTGGTATCGGTGCTGACTGCTGACTGCCGACTTAGGCTGATGTCGGCGCTGACTATGGACTCACCTGATGTCGGTACTGATGAGCTGACAGCTGCGTAGCACGGCCTTGACCTGCGCCTGAGTCACGCGACGCATTGTCTCGCTATTTAGTCACGATGAAGCCTCCGGCCCTGATGGAGCCATCACGATGCACGGCCGAGCCGCGCGTCACCGATTTCACTAAGACGCCGTTCATGCCACCTCCACATTGAGCCCTGTGAGCGACGGGGAGGCTGGTGAGCCGCTCACAAGCCCATATTAAACCCAGGACGGTCTGAATCGGCAACATAGATGCACGCTAGGGTGTAACATGTCCATTTCGTTTATATAGGAGTGTGCACAAAAGGGCTACACAAGTTATCTCACATTCAAAGGAGAAACCCCGCCACGCCTCTCCCCCGGCCCGCGTGCCTGCAGCATATTTACGTCTGGACAACAAGTTGCGGGTAAAAGTGCTGATTTTGTCGCAGTTTTAGGAGCCGGTGATTAGGCTGGATTTTTGGGTTACTTTTTCGTACCGATTCCTGTATTTCATAGTGTTTTGCTTGTGAATATTTTAATTATTTCAGAGAAATATTACTTGCCTTACATATTTTGTAAAAACGTTTCATTTTTATAAGCTGACCGTTAGACTCCTAAAACAATACACCAGCACTACAACCAGTAAAACGCCTTTTGGGCGAAGAACGAGCGAGCGAGATAGTGAGCCCTGCACGTGCGGAAGGGCGAGAGGGTACTTCCAACGGGCTTGTGCAAAGCACCTTTCTAACCGGTCGCTAGCGGTGTGCCAAATTTGAACGCAATCGGTCCAACCGTTCCTAAGATCTGGAAGCGGCATTCTGCACGTGTGCACGTGCAAAAGGGGTCGAAACTGACTTGCACGGCATCCTAATAACCGGTCCCCAACCGTGTACCAAATTTGAGCGCAATCGGCCCAGCCGCTCTCGAGATCTGGAAGCGCCCCCTGCACGTGCGCACGTGCAGTAGCACCCTAACCGCAATACCTGTGAATGCATTGCCTGGTGAGTGCCTACCTGTATGCCAAGTTTTAGACGAAGTCCAAAAGACAGTTTCGTAGACGTCGGCCCATTCTGGATTTTTTATATGATGTAGCTAATGTATGGGAGAATAAAATATGTAAAAATCAGCAAAATCGAAGGGTACCCATTTTTCAGAAAATTAAAACTTATTTTTTGAATTTTAATTTAGTTCATTAATTAGCTAATTACGTCAATATTGTTATCCTGAAATTTAAGCCTGATCTATTCCCTCCATTTCATACTTTGTCTCATGGTGATATGTCTAAAACTGCAATGGTTATGACGCTTTAAAGATGATAATGTGCCTTGCCTGAGTCAATGTTTGATGACGTGTATCTCGGAAACGTGGCGTCATATCTTGACAAAAACATGTCTCCTTTCTTTTCAAATATAGATGAGTAGTTTCACAAAGTTTCGCAAAAATCGGAGGAGGTGAGGCTCAAAATGGTCATTTTTTGTCTCACTTGACGTGGAATGCCCCATTAGTTGAGTGAGGTTGAATGTTTGTTTTAACCCGCGCCCCACTGGGGAGGGGGGCAGAATCTGCCCCCTCCCGTTTTTCGTCAATAACTTCTAAACGCGTTACGCCAGAGACGTCGAACTTTCAGTACCTTATCATAGGGGAGAGTGGGGCAAAGCGGCCACCCTAACGCTTCTCACGCTGCCAACGCTTGATTTTTAAACTTGGAAAGATCCTTTCTATACCAATGTGATCCCTATTAAGTTGCCTTTTATTTCAACTGCGTTTTATTTCCAAAGGCGTTCGCATATGGAAGATATTGACAAAACTTTAAACCTATGCATATTGGCCATTTTGCCCCATACCCTGGGGCAAAGCGGCCACCGGCGTCTTCTCAAGTCCCGATATGAAGAACAAAATATTTGCCTCACGTACGACTAGGGTATTTAATGGTGACAAGGTTTAAGCGAGGATGGATGTTAACTTTATCATCTTCCACCTGTAGGTAAAGAAAGAAAGGATTTTCATGAAAAACATTTAATTGCATTATTTGGTAACTCATGCAACTGAAAAGTGCCCAAGATGAATGCATGAGGACACATTTGAATATAAATAATGTTGTTTATCCAGATGGAAACAACTTATGGCAAATTGGAGGATGGCCACTTTGCCCCGGCCACTTTGCCCCGCGCATACCGCCCGAGACAAAAATATTCCAGCTTAGCTATTAGTGGAGTAAAAAACATTAAAATTGGTAGAATACATATACGATAACCATGCAATGCATGGACCAGAGCTCTTATAAAAATTCCAAACGGTTATGGAATAACATAACATTTAAAAATTGTAAACATAGTTGGTAACCTGGCAAGAAAGGCTTTTCTGTGTTTCACAGAACAATGGTGATGGGCCTGAAACTCCGGTCTGGCTCATTCGAACGACCGTGAAGAGAAGTATAATTGGAAACCATAAATTGGAACTGACGCCAGCTATGAAGGGCTAAAACGATGGGTGGCCGCTTTGCCCCGGGTGGCCGCTTTGCCCCACTCTCCCCTACATCAATTTAACACGTTCCCTAAAAATAAAAATTTCAGCGAAATCCGTTGGAAATTTTTTGAGAAAATTACGTTTTAGTGTCGTCATGTTCGCCATTTTCGCCTCAAAAACAGCAATATTTCAAACGCCGCTAACATCTTCATTTTTAAAGGAATCGAGACGTAACGAAAAAATTTATACGTGATTCTACTTTGTTTATTAAATGGCTATCTCGGTTTTTCGAAAATTTTGGGATTTTGGCCCAAATTTTTTTCAAAAAACTGAATTTTTGGGGAAAATGATTATGAAATCCAAAATTTTGAGTGTATCCAAAAACCGGAAGATATGTCAGAGGATTGATCTATGTATGTATGTGCACCTACATACCAATTTTCAGAAGAATCGGTTTAAAAATGTGGGAGTTATTCAAAAAATTTATGACGTCACAACACAAGATTTTTGAAAAATGATTTTTTGGAAGTGCTAGACCTCGTACGGAAACAAAAATATCACCATTCGATTTGCCGTGAAACATTACATCAGATAGACACCTTTTTAGGCCTTAACAACCAACTTTAAAATTTGACCTCACCTGACCTGACCTTGACCTGATGATATCAGGGCTGCGAAGTCGGAGTCGGAGTCGGAGTCGGAGTCCGTCGGAGTCGACAGTTGTGACCGGCGTCGGAGTCGGAGTCGGAGTCGATTTTAGAAACCCGGGCCGGAGTTGGAGTCGGAGTCACCGAAAATCTGTCGACTCCGCAGCCCTGCTAGGTCTGCGGAGTCGGAGTCGGGAGTTGGAGTCGGTCGGAGTCGACAATTCTGCCCGGAGTCGGAGTCGGAGTCGGAGCTGGTTTTTGAAAGCCGGAGTCGGAGTCGTAGTCGGAGTCGCCGAAAATCCATCGACTCCGCAGCCCTGCCTGAAATTCATCCAGAGGTGGTCCATATCACTTATTGAGTGTGCCTATTGAATTCTACGAATAAAATGACCCATAAAACATGTGTCGCACATGCCCTTTTCTATATTATGTTTTTGGTGACCTGACCTGACCTGACCTTGACCTTTGAATGATACATAGACCCGGGAACAGGGGGGGGGGGCAGCGGGGGCGCTTGCCCCCCCCCCCCCAACTTGAGAGCCGAGGGGGCGGCGCCCCCTCAACATTGAGGCAGCGTAAAAGGATTTTTCTTCCCTTTTCCGGACTTCTTTCCTTCTTATTTTCTTTATACATCTAAACATCATCACACGGCATTTTCCTAGCCATCTGAATGGTTCTTGCTGATACAGTATCGATTTCACAACATCTGCTATTGTCATCCCGCTTTGGTTTGGGCCTGGCCTTGGCCATGAGTTTGGCAGGCCAGATTTTATACTAGACCATTTTGAGAAAACTTTGAGAAATACATAACGTACAGCCCACCGCCAAAGTAATGTGTGGTTTTACCAATCTCAACGGATGGCTTTGACCGACAATTTTTAAATGCGGACTGATTGAAAAGAAGACGTCAATAGATAAAGTTGTAGCTGCAAGGGTGACGATACATGTAAGCTACATTTAAAGTCTCGTTGCAGTCTGGCTAACCGTTCCTAGGCTTCAGAAGCAGAACATACCCATGACTGAAACCACACATTACTTCTGCTGTGGACTGTACAACGGTGGTAAAATCGTTGCTATAATATAGGTATAACACAGTTTACCCGCTCCGGGTGTGAGGGAGGGGTGTGGGGCAATGAGTGCACTGACGTGGCGCCCTCGGAAGGCCGGTATCTATGGGATTAAAGCTCAGCGACACTAAGGGCTTGTCTGATGCATTTGGTTATCGGTAGCACCCTCAGAATCACCGGCGTATAGGGCCCTCAGAGCCGCCGGTAAGGGGCCTTTAAAGGCATTGGTATGGGCCGCCATGCAGGTGCCGGTTCGGGCGCACAGAGGTGCTAGTGTGATTCTCTCAGGGGCGCCGGTGATGGTCCTTACAGGCGTTGCTCTGGGATCTCATAGACGCTGGTGTGGAGCCGTTACAGACGGGTGTGAGGTCTTTAGAGCTGCTGACGCGAACCCTCTACAAACCAACAGGGGGTTCTCAGTGACCGGCACGGGGCCCTTAGGCCGGTAGAAGAAGTCTTGTGGGGTCCTTAGAGACCGGCATGGTACTGTCAGACGCCGGTGGGGCCCTCAGGGCTCAGAGTCACCGGTGTGGGGCCCTCAAAAGTTTCCAGTGGGTGGCCTTTAGATGCGCAGGTGTTGACTGTTGGGTCCTCAGAGCCGCCCATATCCCGCGATCTGGTGGGGGACACCTGCCCCGGCCAGGCCATCAACGGGGACCGCGGCCAACTCGTCGCGGAGGACCGGGCCAAGGCCGAGGCGTTTGTCCGCACCTACGCAAACGTCAGCAGCCACACCCGTCACAGGAGGCGTGATCGATCAGTGAAGGCTGATCTGAGGGTGGTGAAGACGCGCCCCTGCTCATGTGCTGGACAGCGCGATGGTGCCTGCCAGCCCTTCTCCAGACAAGAGATGAGGACCCAGCTGAGCAAGCTGAAAATGAAGAAGGCTCCCGGCGCTGACGATGTATGTGCGGAACACCTCAAGCACCTCGGGCCGGTGGCCCAGGCCGCGCTACTGCACGTCATCAACAAGTCGTGGAGCTCCGCTGAAGTCCCCTCGGTATGGAGGAGAGCAATCATCATACCGATCCCTAAGGTCGGGAAGGACCCTCAAGAGGTCACTAGCTACCGTCCGATATCGCTCACCAGCCACGTCGCCAAGCTGATGGAGCGGATGGTGGCAGCTAGGCTCACGCACCTACTGGAGCGAGACAACATTATCCCCGCAGAGCAGGTCGGTTTTCGCCGCGGCCGCTCTGCAGAGGAGAACCTGGGACGACTCATACAAGAAGTCCAGGACGGGTGGAACCGGCCGCCACCGAAGGGACGCCCGTCTGACGGCAAGACCGCCGCCAGGTTCGTGTTGACGGCCTATGACTTCTCCCGCGCCTACGATGTAATTGACCATCAAATGCTGCGACTGAAGATGTCCCATCACCTTCCACGGTGCCTTGTCACGTGGATTCACCACTTCCTCCGAGACCGACGCGCCTGCGCGGAGGTCAATGGGTCACGGAGCCGGAACCGCCCATTCCGAGCTGGCCTGCCGCAGGGGTCCGTCCTCGCACCGACCCTGTTCACGCTGTGGTCGGCGGACCTCGTGGCGGCGCTGAAGCGGATCCCGGGCACCTCTGTCTTCCTGTACGCCGATGACACCGCAACACTGTGTTCCGGCGGTACGATAGCGGAAGCCAGGGACCGGGCTCAACAAGCGGCGGATGCCATAGCGAAATGGGCCCGCGACTGGAAGATGCGGCTGGCAGGAAGCAAGACGCAAGTTTTAGCCCTGTCGCAGCACTACGTCGACGCCCGGGACCTGTACATCCACGTAGACGGGGCACGAGTGGACGCTGGGAGACACCTTCACCTTCTCGGTGTAACCCTGGACCGGCAACTTCACATGGGCGAGCACTGCGCGCGCGTCCGGAAGAAGACCAAGCCGAGGATCGCACAGCTCCGTAAGATGACCGGGCGTTCCTGGGGTCTGCGGGAGCCACAGCTGCGAGTAGTAGCCAACGGCTACATCCGCGGTGCCCTGGAATACGCGGCGGCTGCATGGCTCCCTGCAGCGTCCGAGTCCCACGTAGAGCTACTGGAGATTGAGATGCGCGCCGCAGCCCGCGTTATCACCGGGTGCCCCGTGAGCACGCCGAGGGACCCGCTCCTCGCGGAAGCCGGTCTGGTTCCCGTGAGAGCACGCCGGGATCTGCTCGCTGCCAGACTGAGCTGTCTGGCAGCCTCACAAAGAAGCGGCGACCCACTGCGCGCGGTGGCCGAAGCAACGGCCCCACGGCGGCTCCGCACCACCACCGGCTGGCGCGACACGGGAGCGCGCGCCCTGGTGAGCGCGGGCGTGCGAGATGTACCTGTGGAGGAGCGCCTGCACGTCACCATCCCGCCGTGGATCGATGACACCAGGGTCCAGTTTAGACTTGACATCGGCAACCACATCAGCCGCACAGCACCACCCGACGTCCGGCGGGAGAGAGCGGAGGAGCATCTGGCCACCCTCCCAGACGACGCCGTATGGGTGTGGAGCGACGGCTCGGCGGAGGGAGGTGTCTCAGCCGGAGGGAGTGGAGCGCTGATAATCCTCCCCTCAGGCGAGGAACACGAGCTCCGAGCCCCTGCGGGCAGGATATGCAGCAGCACCCGCGCCGAATTGGTGGCGATCCGCGGGGCACTGGAGATGCTGCTGCGGCTGGAGGGCGGCCTGGCGGAGAGCCCGGTCATCGTCTGCGCCGACTCGCAGGCGGCGCTCGCCACACTGGCGAGTGGGGCTGGGAGCCAGGCGACAGCACTCGGCGCCGCCGTATGGCGACTGCTCCTGGCGCTCACGGACGGAGGACGCCGAGTCTTCATGCAGTGGATCCCAGCGCACTGCGGAATACCCGGCAATGAGAGAGCGGACGTGCTGGCTAAAGAGGCATCCAGCCTGTCGCAAGACGCCGTCCCAACGGACGTCCGCTCGATGGTGAAGGCAGTCGGCCGCTCCGCCACCAAGGCATGGCGTCGCAGCTGGCCAGACCGGCCCCCGCCGAAGTTAGTTGGTAGCACTGCTGCTCCACGGCGTACATTTCCTACCAGCCCATAGGGTTTACATGTTAAATGGCCTGTTTTCGGCGAGCGATATCTCGGTCAACCTTTGAAGGAATCAATGGTTCTTAGTCTCAAATGATAGATCGATGAATTTTCTTTCGACAATTCCTCTACCATTTTTCACGAAACCCAGCCGATCTTCTACGGCGTACAGGGTAAAGATTTCTCTGCACGCCAGCACCCGCGATCCGCCTCTCCGATCGTCGGCGCGCGGTCCTCGGTAGCGCAGTCGGTAGCGTATCGGGCTACGGATCCGAGGGTCGTGAGTTCGAATCCTGGGAGCGCCGTGTGATTTCGGCTAGAATTGAATGGTGTAGGATTTTGAATGTTTGCGTAATCAATTATTAATAGCTAATTGAATGTATCTGCGCACTAATCGGCCCCTAAAACCTGTTATTTAAGAAATTAAAGAAATGAATGTCACGTGCGCGTCACGACTGCCAACCATAAGCGCTACCATATTCTAGTTTGAACTAACTTTTTACTAGTCCCGACCACATATAGTAGGTTTTCTAGTAGTTATACTAGAAATTCCTACCAAAGTTCGTCCTACCCTTCACTCAATATACCCTGGGCCAGACAGCTTCTTCAAAACCATCATGGGAGACCGGATGCCGATGCCGGTGCTCCTGGAGTCTCGCGACGAGGCGGTCAACGTCCACCAGCTGCGGGCGGGACACTGGAGCCGCTCGCAGAGCTACCTTCACAGAATCGGACGCCGCCCCGAGCGCGACTGCCCACAGTGCAGTGATCTGGCCTGCCCGGCGGCGCGCTGCCTGGTGTGTCGCGAGGGCCCAGACACGCCGGAGCACGTGCTGCTGAGGTGACCGTGCTTGGCTGGCGCGAGGCTCCGCCTACTCGGCAATATCAGACCGGACCCTACGCAGCTTCGGGACGGCGGGGCCGTGGCGGCCTTGAGCCGCGGCTACCTCAGTCACCAAGAGCCGTTGGGCTACGGTCGGCCGTGAGCCGACCCGGGGAGACCAACAACAACAACAACAACCTGGTGGGGGGGGGACTATTTTTTGCCCCCCTCCAGACTTTTCGATATATCTCCAGAACCGCTGCGCCGATCGTCACCAAACTTTCAGTACCCTCCCGGACATCAATTTTACACATTGTGACAAAAAAAAATTCCAAAGGCTATGATAGGTTGGCCGGAAATGACGTCAGAGTGACGTCATGTTCTGCCGTTTTCGACCCAAAAAAGGGTTTCGCGGGAAGAGCTGTCAGGCCTATAGCTTTGCAAATACAGAAAAATGATAAAGACATAAAAGCTGTAGATTGGACAGGGCTACAAAACTGCTATCTCGGATTTTTGAAATTTTTGGATTTTGATCCCCAAAAATCAAAAAATAATTTTTTTGGATATAATAATCGAAAAATCCAAAAAGTTTTTTGAATTTCGCAAAAACCGGAATATATGTGATAGTCCTTACCGCCTTCCATCCACATAACAAATTTGAGATTGATACCTCTTTTTTGGCGAAGTTATAGCGAAAAAACTGTTCAAAATTGATGACGTCAAATTTTCAAACTCAATTTTTAGCAATTCTAGACCCCGTAGCGCAAAACAAAGACCACCATTAGATTCCCCGTCACGAGCTGCATCGAATCAATACCCATTTTATGCAAAACTATCAACTTTAAAATTTGACCTTTTTTGGCCTGACCTTGACCTGACCTTGACCTGAACTTCACCAGAAAGTGACCTAAGCCGTACCTGATAGTCTTATAACCAACACCATTGAGTTGGAAATGAAAAATTGGCCATAAAACATCACACAACCTTAGTAAAGTTGGGCTCATGTGACCTGACCTGTGACCCTTGGTGACCTGACCTGTGACCTGACCTGGTATTGCCAGTGACCTCTAATAGCAACATATCTACTAGGCAACTGACGCCCTACCGCTGATTCTCGACAAAATGCGTTTTCCTCGGTGTTATAGCGCATTCCCTAGAAGACCCGTGAACGGTGAAACATTTCATCTTTGACCTGACCTGTGACGTCATCGGTGACCCCGAGGTCAATGAAATTTGGTTTCCTTCGACAAATTTGACAGGCCTTTCGAACGCCGTTTGAATTTTGCGGATCCGTCCAGTAGTTTCGGAGATACGAGGGGGGGGCAAAAAATAGCCCCCCCCCACCAGGTCGCGTTATAAACAGACCCCACCAGGGCGCGGGATATAGGGCTTTAAAAGGCACTGGTATAGGCACTCAGAGTTGGGGGTGTGAAACGCTCAAAGACACCGGTGTGGGCCCTCATAGGCGCCGATGAGGGCCCCCACAGTTGCCGCTATGGGACCCTCGGAAAAATAAGTGTGTGACCATCACAGGCGGGAAATGCCCCTAGAACTGGCCCCTCATAGGCCGGTAAGAACTCTCAGAGGCCAGTAACGGGCCTTTGGAGACCACCGAGGGGCCCTTAAAATCTGCAAGATTCCCTCAGAAGCCGGCGTGGGGCCCTTGTTGAGATTTTAGTGTGGTTATTTAGGGCCCATAAGGTGCTCTAACGAGACCTATGAGGCCATTCTGAGTCGAAATATGGCCATCGTTAACCCTCAGCGGTCAAATGGCACCGCAGGTCCTCTCGGACCCGAGGGTCCCTTTCAACCCGATGGGTGGGGGGGGGGGTACGTGTCCCCTTAGACCCCTAACTACGCCACTGCTTCATATGCATCATGCAGGCATTTTAGGCTCACCCCCCCAACTTGAAAATCGTTCCCGGGCCCCTGGAATGATATTATATGCAAAGAAAATTGTTTTGGTAGCCTAAGAACACGTTTTGGGCAATCAGTCTCAGTCCATTCTTCGGCAACTACGGTGCAAGGCCGATAATGTAGAAACTTGCATTTTGTACCCTTGACCTGACCTTGACCTGACCTCTGACCTACTTAAGCAAGAAAATTGGGCTGCTAAGATCCGCCTTGTTGAGAGCTTTCGATTGCCGTTTTCCCCGTCTTTCTACGACCATCGGTTCGGAAGTTAGACAGGGGGGGGGGGGGGCAGAATCTGCCTCCCCCAGTTCCCTGTGCGCAGCGCCCGCGGTCGGCCGCAGCGCCGGGAGCTTCGCTCCCTCCTGCCCGCGCCGCTCTGTGCCTCTCCACCGTGTGAGACTGAGTGCTGCGAGTGAATGTGAGTGTGAGAGCGTGGCGCCTTCTGCTGTGCCTGCTGTGCCGAAGCTTCACCTCCTGGACATATCACATCATCGTGATGCACCGTGACACCGCCCGTCACCTGGTTCTGCTGGTGCTCACCTTCCTGCTGGTGTCCGCCGCTCGACCTGCGCCGCTTCCAGCCAGTGCGTGACAAGCACCACCACCAGTGCCGTTCCACTCCAACGAAGACGACCGTCGGACGTGCCGACGCGCCGCCCGGTCGCCGTTCCTGGCGCCGGCGCCTCTGCCCTGCCCCCATACTCTTCCCCCGACTGGGTCTACTCCACACGGCCGGAGTGGCCCCACCGCTGAACGGGCCCCGAGCGATCACGTGACCCGGCGTGGCAGGCGCGGTGCCAGCGGCGCCGGGGGTGCAGAGGCGGCCGGGCGTGGCGGCGATCCGGTCCCGGCGGCCACCGACAAAATCTTCTAGCGGGATTGATCAACATCCAGTCCCTGCTTCCCAAGATCCTGACTCTTCAACATGAACATCTTAACCGACTTGACTACGACATCTGTGTTATCACCGAGACCTGGCTTCGGCCCGCCACTGCGTCCCGGCTGGTGACCTTCCCCGGCTACACGCTGCACAGAGCCGACCGGCCGGGTGACGCGGGCTACGGTGGGGTGGCCATTCTGGTCAAGGACAGCTACCCGGCATCTGTCATCCCCCAGCCTGCGTCAGACTGCGCGGCCTGTCGGCTGGAGTCGCTGTGGCTGCGTGAAGCCGGCGACCGGCCGACAGTTCTCCATCGCCGCAGTGTACCGTCCCCCGCGCCGTATGTACAGGTCTTGCGGGTTTTAGCGGTAGGTCGCTCGGCGAGCGGGAGGGCAACCAGTTCCGCCTCTGTATCAGTGACCATTTGCTCCGCCCAGTTACTCGCCAGTGCGTACTACGACCCATAGTAAAGTGGGGAGGGAAGGGTCAGAGTGGCAGCCTGCGTAGAGGCTAAAACCGGTTTCTATCGCCTGGGCCGGTGACACGGCATGCCGTCAGGGGACGGGGAAAGGTCAGAGGTCACTCACAATGTGCAGTACCGCGTCCCGTCCTCTCTGCCTGCTGACCAGCGCACGAACTCGGCCGTTGGCCAATGTATCATGTATTACAACAATCACGAATGTCGGTTGGCCCTGGTGATGTTAAATCTGGTTCACACATCATGCACACATGGCCAATCGGCATTGAACGGTCAAGGCCACCCGTAGCCAGCGGGCGGGGTGAGCCGGTAGCGTGCCGATTCATAGGTAGTCGTCCAAAGTTTTAGCGGAAGCCGGGAGACGACTGTAATGTTATTTCTTGGGAACAGTTCTGTCATTTAACCCGCGCCCCGTTATGGTCTCCCGAGCATCGGTCCCATGGGGGGAGCATTTTGCCCCCCCCCCCCTAAGATCTCGAGAACCACGCAAAATAACGACAAGAAGCAAACGGTATTGGATGGCCCCAACGAGGAAATACCTTTTGGCTCAATTTCATTGACCTAGGTCAAACCGATGACGTCACAGTTCAGGTCAAATGTCGAATTTTCATCGTTTACAGGCATTTCAAGAAATGTGTTGTAAAATCGAGTAAAATGTAATCGAGTAATGTAATGTAATCGAGTAATGTAATCGAGTAATGTAATCGAGTAAAATTCATCGATAAGGAATCTATGAATAACAATTATTTTCGATGGGGAATTGTTCGTCAAACACATATTTTGCTATTTGGGGTCACTGATACCACGTCAGGTCACAGAGGCCAGGTCACTGAGAGTCACAATATGAAGATAACTATTCTGTGATGCATGTTGTCTGGTCCATTTTACATGACAAATGCGATTATGTGGGTCAGGCAACCCTTGGGGGCCAGTTTGGGTTATGTTCTGGTGAAGGTCAGGTAAAGGTCAGGTCAAATCAGGTCAAATTTCTAAATTGACATTTTTGCTTAAAAAGGGTATCGTTTCGATGCAGCTCGTCACGGGGAGTCTAATGCTGGTCTTTGTTTTGCGCTACGTAGTCTAGAATCGTTAAGAATTGAGTTAACCCTCGCCGGACCTATTGGTTTTCTACATACGCGCCGGCCGAGGGGGGGGGGGGGCGGGTACGACCCCCCCCCCCCTCGCCGTTTCGCCCCTGGTGGAGCTAGCGCGTCGCGGGAAAAACGAGCGTGTGCGCCGTAACGAGACGCAGAGATTGGTACCCGATTTTAAGGTCCTAGGTCGACCGGTGACCTCTGAGGTCAGGTCAAGTGCCCCAGGGTACGGTTGAGTTTTTGGTGAATAACTTCGCAAAAAAACGGCCGCAGAGCCGCGATTTTGGCAGCATCGTGTTCGCCTTGATGAGGCGCGTCGAATGATATACTTTTTGTTCGGGTCAGGTCAACTTAGGGTGTTGACCTCAGGTCAAGGTCAGGTCAGCACCCCAGGTCACGAAGTTGGTCGAAAGAGGTCATGCTGCATATCATTCGATTCGGCAGGTCTTCCTGAGTCCATTGGTGGCTTTCCCGACTCGCTAGCTCAATTTGATCGGGAGTTATTGACGAAAAACTCATATGACCTTGATGACGTCATAAATGACGTCACAGAAGGTCAACATTGCAAAAGTGACGCATCTAACCTTGCAAGGAGTGCATCAAATCACGATTCTGTGTGCTTGAGATAGTTGGAGATCGTTCCCGGCGCCAGAATA